ACACTTCCAAAGCACAGAGATGTTAGAAGCCTGAAAACGGGTTAGGGCAATTTAAATTTTGAATCTTAAATGAAAATATCGTGAAAATAGCTACTGTCATCACTAAAACTCATGAAGATATTGGCTGAATCTACTTCCAAGATAGAAATTATGAGGTCCAAAAGAAGGTAGTGACCATGCTGGTACTGACATCAGCACAAGAGGGAAAGGGGACATACACTGGTTTTGCTGGCTCTTTCTCTTTGCCAAGAGCAAAAGAGAAAGCAAAGCATTATTGAGAAATGCTCATACTTTTATTGAGAAAAATGTTTATACTTGGTCTGGAACAAAACACAGCTTGAGATCAATTACTTTTCATGAATACTATCTTTTTCTTTATTACAGTGTCAGAGATGCAGTCATTTAAAGAAATTAGAGCATCCACTATGTTTTACAATGCCCCAGGCATGTATTAGATGTTGTGAGGACACAAATGAGATCCGAATGTTGCCCTCGAGGTTAGCATCTATAGGAGGACCAGCTAAGTGCATAATTATAATACAGAGCACCTAGAGATGTAACTGATGAACTCTGGGAACCCAGCTAAGCCTGGAAAATCAGGGAGGGCTTCTCAGAGGAGATGGAAACGGAGGTGGATCTTGAAAGATGCTCTGGTATTTATTGAGAACAAAAGGGTCAAGGGCATTCTCAGACATGACAGCAGCAGGTGCAAAGAAAGGCTTGTGTGCCTGGAAGAGGCATGATGTGCTGGAACACCCCAAGGAGTTTGATCCAAATGAAGTAGAGACTGCAAAGGAGGGAGGGTAGGCAGCCAGTGCACTGCAGGGGTAGCTGGGCTGGGTCAAGGGGTCCACACCAAGGTGTGTGGATCTATTCTCAAAGTTACCAGGGCCCATGGAAGTCACTGAGCAGGAAATCATGGGAGGGCCTCTGGAGTGGGGGCAATCTCTTAGAAGAGAATGACATTAGTTAGCTCCAGCAACTGACTGGCACAGAGCTGATGAGGACTAGAACTAGACTAGTAATGATGGAGGTAGAGGAGTATCTCAAGAATGGAAAGAAAAAGTATCCGATGTACTTAATACTATTATGAAACCAATATATAATCACTTACACATTCATACAAATAATAAAACACAAATATAGTCCAGAAAGAAAGGGGGGGGGAAGAGAGGGGAGGGTATTTGTCAGCATCTCACCTGATGTACGCAATACAATGGTACATTTCAAACAACTAAGAGTATATTACAAATGTCTTACCACAAAAAATAAGTGAGGTGATGGTTACGTTAATCAGTTTGATTTAAGCATTCCACACTGTATCCCATAAATGGAATGTGAATACAAATCGTCACATTGTCCCCCATAAATGTTTACAGTTATGATTTAATAAAAATTAAGTAAAAAAAAAATCTTAACAACTAACATTGTGACAGCTGGCAGGTGACCTCACCAAGCGCCACTGTTCTTGGAAATTTCATATATGGTTTTAAATCCAGGAGCTGGTATAGACTGAAGGAGGATAGTGAGGCAATATCAGATGGAGACTTCTGGCTTGAGTTACTAGGACTACAGGAATGCCAGTTAATTGAAATATTGATTCCAGGAGAAGAAATCAGTGTTTAGCTCAGGAGTGAAGGAGGCAGGGGAAGACAGTTCCCTTGTTAGTTTTGAGAGCTGCCTGGCACAAGTGAAGTAACCAAAATGCTGGGGACAGGCAGAAAGAAAATGAGAAATTCAAGTTAAATAAAGAAAAAAGGAGGCATAAAAATATCTCTATAGTAAGACTCAAGCAGCCACCTATACATCAAAAAGTACCATACAAAGCTTTCCAGATAGTAGGAGGACAATGATCCCACTACAGAAGCATCTGATACCACTTTTAAAACATATAGACTCTCAAGTTAAATCTTAATTACCCCCGACTGGAAAATGTTCTATGTTTAAGGGCACGAATATAATGTGTTCAGGCGAGCAGCTCTGGTGGAAATGGAAGTGCATTAGAGAAAACAATGTCTAATCCCTGAATCGAGATTCTTGTCAAATGCTAGGAGATCAGAGGAAGGCATTTTTGGAGGGTAGATAATCAAAGCTCTTAATACACTGATTCTTTAGTCTAGCAAAAGGCAAGCTGATACCTAGGATCTGCAGTTATATTTGGAAAGACTACAGCCTCAAAGGAGAACCAAAATGACCCTGACATAGCTCCTTGCTCCCCTAAGAAGAAAGGGTTACTCTGGCAAGAAAAAGAATTTCTCAGTAAGTTAAAGGAAAGATTTAATTAAAAGACAGTGGGCAAAAAAGCTTGGGAAAATTCAGACAGTTGTACTCCTGTATGTCCAGCCCCTAGAGGAATTGGATAATGATTTATGGTGGATATGGGTAAGTCGGGCCACAGAATTCGAGGTCTGTAAATCTTTTAAATGTGTAGACACAGTGCTTCAAATCCAGCATTCATCACAAAAGTTGATAACTCTGTAGTAAATCTTTAATAACTGCTAAAGTCAAATTTAGAATGGCACTATGTTAACTTGGTCATTAGGTTGAATGATTTTTTTCTGTATTTGGTCTGTTCACAGAAGATGGATCCAAAGTCATTAAGGAATTATTGATAGAACTTTTATCATCAGCACAAAATAAGGTTAAAAATACCACTAATAATGATAACCATAAACACAGCCTCATACATTTTTGGCGATGGTGATAGCAGTGAACACTGTATAGACTATTAATCCCCCCATGAGGCTATCCAATCATTAGCCCCGTCTCAAAGAGGAAAGAGATTGAAAGAGGGTAAGCATTTTGCTCAGATTCCCAGAGGCATTACAAAGCAGAACCTGGGATATGCGGACCACTGACCATGCTGTCGGAAGCACATCCACTGGTGTCTCAGTCTCTATGGCAGTAGACTCACAAAGCAAAATTCAAATCAGACTAGCTCAGACCTTGAAGGTTTTTCAGCTTGGAAGCTGTGTGTCTGTAGACTTACAACCCAAACAGAGTCCTTAATCAATCACTGATGCCTGCACACAAAGTTCAACTAAAGCCTCCCTCCCGTAATAATGGACAATAATACAGAATAGTACAGAATAAATCAGATAAACGAATACCTTGAAATCACACTTTCCCAGCAATGAAGTTGTGCCTAACTGCTGAAATAAGAGAACAACTTTGTATTTTCTGGAAAGGAAATGTATGAGGAAATAACTTCAAAATTCTAAACCAGATTTCAAGTGTAATGATTAAAAGTAAAATAACCTTTTCATTTACCTATTTAAGTTTTGGTCAGTAAAGGAAGCAGCTGAAAAGACTTGTTTAACCTTTGGCATGTTAAAACTATCAAAAAGGAGTGTCAAAAAGCAAAAGTTAAAACTTGCTCGTAAAATATTCACAATTATCACAAATTGTATATATATAGGAAAATAAAAATGATGGCATTAATCACCTGTGATAATCATGTCCAAGCTTTCTTTTAACTCATCAGCACCTCCTTTCTTTCTGACAGTACTTATGGGTTATCTTTCGCCAGCCCTGCAACCTCACACCTCAAACATGGACCCTTAGAGTAGTTCAGGCACGTGGACTAAGGCAAAAACCAAAATGGTTGCATGCTTCAAGAAGATGACAGTCATGCCAGGGAAGAAAAATGGTAAAATAAAATTATATAGAAATCATATTACTTAGCTATATTATTTCATGTCTTCATCTTGAAATGTGCTGTATTTTTGTTAAGCATGGTTTCCTATGCTTAAAAATAAAGCTATATCATTTATAAAGATCACTTCCTCCAAGAATAAGTGTGATTCGAGTTTGAGGAATGCAATCTCAAATCTAAAATTCTGTTTTATAGAACTGTAGATATAAGCAGACATCTTAAAAATATGCTATGTGGAACTAAAAAGCCTGGATAGTAAAAGAATGACCTAATCACTAGACTGAATCCTCTCAGGAGAAATAGTCACTGAGACAATTTGGTTAAGTTTATTTATTTTAAGTTTCTTTATTTTTAAAGAAATAGCTATTTCTTTTCTTAGAAAGACATTTCTTAGAAAGAAATGAAAAGCAAAGCAGTGCTAGAGAGACCAAAGAGAAAAACAGCCAAGGTGCCAGCAAGTCAGGTGACGATCCCTCCAGAGCTGCCAGTGCCAGACTCCACAGCAGCCAGCGAGACAAGAGCCCCCAGCCCCTGACGTACCCACAGATCCCTGCCCATGCGCTCTGAGGGCCTGTTAGAGGTGAGCAGCAGGTGAGAGAACATTACACGCCAGGAGGGAAATGGTGGAGATCAGTTTGCCCACTTGCAACAAAGAAAGACCAAGGAAATTCTCTCCCTTTGGCCTCTTGCTGGGAAATTCTCCATCTAGAACTGTGAAGCATTAAGGTTCAACAACTTGGTGGGTTTTGGAAAGTTTCCATACCAGCCCTAAAACCCACCATTTCTAAAACCAGGAGGATTCATTTCAAGCTCTAAACAACTGCCTCAGAAGTCAGTACTTGGCAATGACACCTGTTTAAAAGTAGAGACATAACTATTTTGAGAGGCTGCTAGTGGTGTGCCAAACACTGCTAATTCTGTTTAATAAACACTCACTGATAAACCTCTGTGCTACGGAGAAGAGGTACACAAGGCCCAGTCTGGGAGGCCGGGTTGCAAGTAAAGAGCACAATACACAGAGACACCAGTAATGAGGGAAGGGCGCACATGCTGTGACCACAGCAGAAAAGGGCAGGGTAATTTGGCCCTGGAGGGCCTCCATACATGCAGCTCTCTTGGGGTAAAACTCCAGTCCCTGGCACAGTGTGACAATCGCCCATCACGGTGCCTGCTAGCCTGTCACTGGACAGTGCTGACAGCCCGTCAGCTCATCATCCTCACCCTCCATCCTCACCCTCCATGCCTCTGCCATGGAGTCTGTATGTAGTAACAAATATCTAATAAGGCACTGGTTTTTCAGCTGGAAACTGCAGTGTGTTTGTAAAGCGTAAGTGGATCCAGGTACCTGGTATGTGGGTCTTTCAACTTGTCCCAACTTCCTGTCCTATTGTGTCCTCAGCCAGTCACAGTCTTCTCAATCCTCTTCTTCCTTTAGAGTCCAGCAAAGAAACAAACGGTGAATACCAGTGTAAAGTACACATACGCTGTGACACAGGGTTTTCAACCTTGGCCCTGCTGGCATTTGGGGCTGGAAAGTTCTTTGTTTTGGGAGTACAGCATCTCCCATCCTGAACTATAACAACCAAAAATGTCTCCAGATTTTGATAAATATGCCTCAGTGACAAAATCACCACTAAGTTGAGAGTCGCTAGTCTAAAATGAATGACTTATTAAAACGGAATAATATTCATATCCTAACTTCCATTTCATGCAGGAGGATGGCAATACATGTGGAGAGGGGCTAGGGGAAAGGGCACGGATGGGGAGCAGGGAGGGAGGAAGGCGCATGTACTGAGCACCTGCTGTATTCCCAGCCCTATGGGAAGTGTGTCCCCTACCCCCCAGAATCAGAGCTTGCTCAAAACCTTGACAGGCAATGGGTTAGTATGTGCTAAAAATGTCACGAAAAACAAAACTCTTCAGGATAAAATTAAAATAAATTATTGCTAGAATTTCATATGGACATCGACTTCCCTTTCCTCTACTTTCAGTAGGCCAAATGTTTAACTTCTCCTCCTTAAGAACAAGCAGCAGGACATTCTCTTGGCAAGGGTTCCATTTTGTGACTTCTTAGGACATTTCCTCTACCAACCTAAAATCTGGCAGTGTTTTCGTGGTGGAAGACCCACATGCAGTCACTAGCATGGCCAAGACTTCTCTTCTCCTAGACCCATAGTGAATGAGACATCCTTAGCCTTAGGAACTGTTAAATGCTGACTGGTTACCGGTCCTTGCCAGAATCCTAAGTGAAGTTAACAACCCACGGCAGTCCAGAGCAGTGTGGGCTGGTTAAGTCCTGACTTAAACTATGAACCTCCCTGAGAGTGTTCAATGAGACAAGGGATAGGAATTCCGCGACACAAGGTCACTTTCCCTCCTCATCTCTGAAGGTCCCAGAAGGCTCAATCATCTTTATTAAATTCAGCACATCCAGGTCCCAAAGGATTCCTGTCTATTCAGAAAGGACTGGAGTAGCTTTTTAAATACATGTGTTATATGTAGTTTTCCCTCATTGACCTTTTCTGAGTCTATTCTAATATAATTATATTGTCCACTCTCATAGCTATGCAAATATTTTATTTAAAGACAGCATCTATATGCCAGCCACTATTGTCAGTGAGGTTTCAACATTAAACAGGACAAAATTCCCTGTCCTCAGGGAGCTTTCTAGTGGAGGTGGGAAACAAACCAAACATCTGGCAGAACAGCTGAAGGAACCAGAAGCAGCGGGGAGTAGGACTGCTGGCAGGAGTGGTGCTCTCCTTTAAGTGGGGCTGTCAGGAGAGACATCACTGACAAAATGTTGGGTGAGCAGAGACCTGAAGGAGGTGGTGGAGACACAGGTCAGAGAAGGGCTCATCCTACTGGCCCTGCTGGCCCCTCTATGTGGCCATCTCATAGAGCCAGAGCATGCCCAAGGCTTCCATGGCCACAGCAGGGGTGGGCTTAGCTGGCTGAGGGCATACCTGCACACATGGGCAGATCCATGGAGGCAAAGGGAATAAGTCCTTTTTTTTCCTTCCTTTTTTTTTTTTTTTGAGACAGACTCTCATTCTGTTGCCCAGGCTAGAGTGTCATGGCAGCAGCCTAACTCAAAGCAACCTCAAACTCCTGGGCTCAAGTGATCTTCCTGCCTCAGCCTCCCAAGTAGGTGAGAATATAGGTGCCACTCCCAGGTCATCTGGCTAATTTTTCTATTTTTAGTAGAGATAGGGTCTCACTCTTGTTCAGGCTGGTCTTGAACTTCTGAGCTTACACAATCATCTCGCCTCAGCTCCCAGAGTGCTAAGATTATAGGTGTGAGCCACTATGGCCAGCCAAAACTTCTTTTCAAAGTCATAATATGAAGAAGAAAACAAGCAGCAAGGTTATCAGCTGAGAAAGAGAATGGAGAAGGGGGCATTTGAGGTTTAAGGAGAGAGCAGGAGGAGGTGCTCCGGAAGAGAGGAGGAGTGACCAGAGAAGGGAACCAGCAGCCCTGGGGACTCAGTGAGACGAAAGTGAGATCATTTAGCCCAGTAGTGTGTGCTGCTCAGACAGACCCGTCAGCAAAGGGGAAGATGTGCAGTGAGAGAGAGCTGGGTTATGCAGGGTTGAGGTTTTGCCAGCTGAGCATAATGAAAGAGAGAAAGAAACAAAGAACTTGCGGGTGGATGCAAAGGAGGGCTTAAAGAAGAAATCAGGGACTTTCAGCTGGGTAACTAGGAAAGCAGAACTGGAGGGGGTGACAGTAACAAGTAGTAGGATCAAAGGACTTTGAGTACTGGCAGACTCCACAATGCAGGTCAAGTCCAGGTGAGGGAAAGACAGGAGAATGGGCTGCTTGGAGAGGGAGCTGGCTAGACCCTTGCTGTTGTAGCTTCTGCACTATTTAGGACTTGTCAGACATGCAGAATCTCAGACTCACCTCAGACCTACTGAATCAGAATCTGCATTCATGTGTACACTACCTCTGGGAGAGGATTGCCTTGAATCACTGTTCCATCTGAGCCAAGTTGGTTCAGTCTCTGCTCGACCAGAAGCCACAGACACCCTATAAAAAGGTGTTAGTGAATAGGTTTCTGAGGTTAGGGAATTCACTGGGGCTCAGCTTCCCATTTAAGTGGCTTCCCATTTTAGTTTCATAGGTTTCCCTCCAGCTGCTCCACGTCCTCACTCTGTCTTACAGTCTTGCAATGTAGTTGGCAGGCTTTTGACTACATTTACCAAAGAACACTGCCCTCCCTCCCCAGTGCTGGCTTGCCTTCTTTCCCATCTGTAGGCAAAGGACATCCCCCTACTTCCTGTAACTGACTTCCAGATACCTTCCTCCATTCTCATCTGCTGCCAGGGGCCCTCAGTCCAGCCTGCAAAATTCCATCTGCCCACAAACATCCCTACAAGACACTAATGCAAAAGTATTGCCTTTAGCTTCCTGCTATAATATTGAATGTTTTGTATTTTCTTCATATGAGAAGACTGATTTCACTCTTTTTTTTTTTTTTTTTTGGTTTTTTTTTTTTTTTTTGGCAGTTTTTGGCTGGGCTGGGTTTGAACCCGCTACCTCAAGCATATGGGGCCAGTGCCTTACTCCTTTGAACCACAGGACCCATCCAGACTGACTTCACTCTTAAGAGTTAATAGCTGTATGTGACATCACAGAATGAAAGGTGAAGCTGAGCCCAGCCAATGGAGGCTTTGCCTCCGCAAACCTTTACTCCTAATAAACAGAGGGTGACATTATCACTGACCCAGATACAACCTCCCATAGAAATACCTGCATATGAAATAATATAAAAACAGCAAATTTAGAATCTCTAGCCCTTCTTTCCAGACAAATACTGCAGATGCTGCCATATGTAAGAGTTTTACTATGAGTACTGACAATGATCAGCTGTAATCTCTTACTAGTCACAGACACCATGCTACACACTCCATTCATCCTTATCTCATGGAATGCTCACAAGAGTTCCTTGGGATCCAGATTATTGTTAAGCCCCAGGGAAACTGGGGCTTAGAAAGGTGATACAGCACAGCCAATGAGAAGTGGAGCTGAGTTTCAAACCTGAGTGTACCTGATTCCACGGAGGTTCCTCACTCACACACACATTCTGGATAACACACAGCTACAGCCCGAGAGTGTGGCATGTCCAGTTTCCTCTGGGTCTCTAGTCTCATTCTTGGTAAATACTCGATAAAGAGACCCTTGGTTAGATGCAACCGTTTTTTAGATCCATAATAATTCTATTAGGTCTTGCTGAGCTAGAATCATCCATGAGCTGGGCTAGTCTGGCATCACTCTGTTTAACTGTAATATGGTTATAACAAACTGGGGGGTGGCATGGCCTCCAGACAGAACCTGCTCTGCTGTCAGGAGAAAATGCTGGCAATGGCCACTCATCTGTTCCCTTCCCACAGCAAAGGAGCCCAAGTCCCTGGGTAAGTTCAAGCAAGTGCCTGTGCGCACAGAAGAAACAGAACTGAACGCAAACGTTCCTGTGTGAGTTTTCACGTGGCTTCGGACACACCTGTTTCCTTCTCTGCATCACTTAACAGCCCCCCATTTGGAGATGACAATGTCTCTGTTTCCTTTGCTTCCCAAAGACACTATGAGGGTGACTCGATGGGGCTAAGGTCTTTGAGTAACGAGAGCTGAGGTTAATTTAATGGTCCTGTGTATACACATGGTGCTGAGATGCACAGTCAGGCCAAGCTACCTGCAATGGTAATCAAGGTCAGGCAAATGGGAACCTTAAAATATTTCCTTTTCAGGTGGTGAGGCCAAAATAAAGCAAACAACAACAAAAGCAGCCTCAGAAACTGATGTTCCCATTCCCGACCCCCATCAGCACAAATCTCTTATTTTAAAAAATATAGGACAACCTTTTCAGTTTCCCAGATTATAAAAGGAATAAAAGCTAAAAGAAAATAAATATCATAGAGCCCTTGCTAAATATGTACCCTTTTTATTTTAACATGTTCTATATCTGGATGAACACTTATCACTCAATATTTATTGCTGCCTCAATATTTATCACTCTCTCTCTCTCTCTTTCTCTGTCTCAGGTTGTCAAGTCTGATAAGGCAAGGACCAAAACTATTTAGTTCTTTTTGTAAAGCATGTGAAACCGTCATGCATAATTAGGCACTTAAAGGGTTTTTGATGAGGATGATTATGAAGAATGAGAACAGCTAATACCATGGTAGGCATGTTTCCTGAAACCTTCCTGTCTTTTCTGAAATGTCAGATGATCACACTTTCACAGAATGGTAGCGTTAATGGAAGCCTGAGCTTAGAAATCGTGCAGAGCCTGCTAAACAGCATGTGGTCTGCGGAGCAGCACCAGGAGCGCCTGGGAGCTTGTTAAAAACGCAAACCCCAGGCCCCACCCCAGAACCACTGAGTCAGAATCTGCAATTTCACAGGATGCTTTGGTGATCTGTATGTGC